TCTGGGGAATATCTCGGGGAATATTTCGGGGAATGTCTCAGGAATGTCTCAGGGAATATCTGGGGAATGTCTCAGGGATGTCTCAGGGAATGTCTCAGGGACTCCTCAGAGCCATTCCTGGGGGATTCAGCGGGGCTGGGCTGCCAGGGAGGGGCTGTGAGTGAAGGAGCTCCTGCTGCCCTTCCTCCTGCAGCCCTCCCGGCCGAGGGAGTCGCAGAGCACAGGACAGGGTGCCAGGAAGGTGGGGTGTAAACAAACATGGCCTGGACGTGACCCCGGAGGATTTTAATGAATAGCTGAAATGACTCATCAGCCGGCAGGGCTGAGGCTGAGGGATATCGGGTGCTGGGGACGGAACTAATGGAAACATTAATTAAGAGTTCAGCTCTTGCCAGCTGCGAGGAGCGGCTGAACCTGAGCTGGTGCTGTCACAGCGATCCCGGGCCAGGGGAGAGCTGCTGGAGCTGCAGCACAGCTGGATTACTGGATTGCACAGGGGGGTTTGGTCAAGGCTCAGTGGAGCAGAACGCTGGGGCTTGCAGGGAACCTGCTGGACGGGTTTTGTGCGCATTCCCTGTTCCAGGAATCCTTGGGAGTGGTGCTTCACTGGTGAATTCACTGCTCTGGGAGGGCAGAGCAGGCAGAGGAGCCTCCTGCAGCTGAGGTTTCCATGGCTGGGGAGATCCTGGGGCTCCCAGGACAGGGTTCCAGCCCTCCTTGCTGGCTGGGGGATGTGAAGGTGACAGGCACATCAGGGGTTGCTGTCCCTTGGCAGAAGCCCCACATTGCTGCCACATGGTGCCCTCCAGAGCATCAGCTCTGACAGGATAACGTGGGAAGCACCACACAGGGCCATGGTGTGGAAAAGGGAACGGGGTTAAGATGAGCAGAGACACAGCCTGTCAGCTTTGGGTTCTTCTGAGGAGCCTGGCCCAGCCTGTCCTTGAACTGCTGAGCTCCTCGTGCTTTCTTGGCCATATTTCATCTGTCTGTTCCTCAAAGGACTCTGGGAGGTTCAGGGTTGCATCCATAGGGTGCAAGGCTGCTCACCCCATGTTCCTCCTCTTGCAGCGGGTTCAGGCTCCATGCAGGGCCCTCAGACACCTCAGTCCACCAGCAGCTCCATGGCAGAAGGAGGGGACTTGAAGCCACCAACTCCAGCCTCGACGCCTCACAGTCAGATGCCGCCTTTGCCAGGCATCAGGTATGGCACCACTGCTGGAGGTGACACCTCTGGGTCATTACTGCAGATGTTGGGGCCTTGGGTGCCTGTTTTGGTGGGACTCCACAGCTTGGCTCCTTCCCTCATGGCTGACAGCAACATCGTGTGTGAATGTTCTTCAGTTTTGGGGTTGGGTGTGAGGACAGTGTTGTGGAGGGGCAGCTCCTCTTAGCTCTGGCCTTTGGAGGGGATGGCAACACCTGAGAGGGAGCCTGTGAGGAAGAGTGTCCTGAGGACTGTCATGGACCTCTGTAATGTGGTGTTTGTGGGGCTTTTTTGGAGCAGGAGTAACTCGGTGGGCCTTCAGGATGCCTTTGCAGACGGCAGTGATCCCACGTTCCAGAAACGGAACTCCATGACTCCAAATCCAGGGTACCAGCCCAGCATGAATACCTCTGACATGATGGGTCGCATGTCGTACGAGCCAAATAAAGATCCCTACAGCAGTATGAGGAAAGGTGAGGGATCATCCTCTCCCTGCGTGGCTGGGTGCTGGAAGTGCTGCAGGACACCCCCTGCTCACCCTTCCTGCCCAGAGCTCAGGTGTCTTTTGCTAAGGGTGTGTTCAGTGGTTCTTTTTCTCTTGCAGCTCCAGGAAGCGACCCCTTCATGTCCTCAGGGCAGGGCCCCAACAGTGGCATGGGTGACCCTTACAACCGCGCCGCCGGCCCCGGCATGGGCAACATGGCCATGGGCCAGCGGCAGCACTACCCCTACGGAGC